CAATTGAAACTTTTTCGCTAAAATTTTTTTTTATTAAAATTTAGACAAAGTGTCTTGGAAATTTTAATAGTCTCAATTCTCTGTTCCAATTTCCCGACGCGTCCGCTCAGAATGACACATTAAGGTGTTAAAATATGTTAATCAAAACCTAAACTTCCTAAATCTAGACTAAAATTAAAATTAAAATCAAAAACGAAAATAAATAGCGATGAGCTATTAGTCCTAAAAATACAAAAACATACGGGCTGGGCCTGCAAGCTTAAAGATTAACAATTTAATTTTTAAATAATAGATTTTAGAAAACTGTAATGAAAACCTGTTATTAATATAAAATAAAACAAAAATTAACTTTTTCTTGGTCTTTGCAAGACCCACTTAGTTTGTTCTCTTCTTAATTTTTATTTTATTTTATATTAATAACAGGTTTTCATTACAGTTTTCTAAAATCTATCATTTAAAAATTAAATTGTTAATCTTTAAGCTTGCAGGCCCAGCGCGTATGTTTTTCTAATTATTTTAATTTTAATTTTAGTCTAGATTTAGGAAGTTTAGGTTTTGATTAACATATTTTAACACCTTAATGTGTCATTCTGAGCGGACGCGTCGGGAAATTGGAACAGAGAATTGAGACTATTAAAATTTCCAAGACACTTTGTCTAAATTTTAATAAAAAAAATTTTTAGCGAAAATGTTTCAATTGTCTGTTTCGGCGAAACGCGTAATGGGGTTAGCTTGATTCGACGTCCAAATAAATGAAATTTCCCTTGAAAAGCCTGTTTGGAAGTCGAATTGGGCTAATTTACCATTTTCCGCTTACTTTTTAACTTTTTCTGTTTTTAATTTTATTAATGTTTTACATGTCTTATGATTTGATTTTCATGTGTATTAATTTTTTGAAAACGTGTTAAACCTTTTGGATCAGCAGCTCTTGGTAACTTTTAGGCGAGCTTACTACAATTTATATATATATAGATATATATATCTATATATATATATATGAGAAGAGAAATTGTAGTTAGCTCGCCGACCAAAATTGGTCTTTTTTGTATTATTCCTACATAATAAAATTCCATAGTCAAGAATACACTTAAAATTCTCACTGTATGTTCTTTTCATTTTTAATGGCGACGTTCTCTTATTTGAAAGTACGTGGAATTAAATCCACAGCCCCGTAGTCAAGTTGTTTTTCCCGCCTTTTCTACACGTACAGTTATAGAATGTTCTGGAAATATTTAAAGCGAACTGGATTGGCTGACGAGGCTGACGTCATTTCTTGCAAGCTCCACCTTTCCAGAGGCTATAAAAGGACTCGCAAAGAAATATCGGGGGCTTTTTCTTAAATGTCACGATGCAGTAAACATCATACAAAATATTATTAGTAGTTCTTTTTTATTTACTCAAGATATCTGATTTTGTAACTGCTATTTCTCCTGACCAATAATAAATAGATCCTGTTTTTTAAACTTATCGTCTGATAATTTAAGCTACAACTACATTTATGATTCTTCAACAATCTATTTATTCCTGACAAAAGCTGTTACATCACATATATAATACAAATAAATTGCAGTGTTATCTTTGTATTTAAATTATAGTTTCAAAACTCGAACTATTTTAAGCAAGACATTTACAATAAGCAGACTAGTCTAGATTAATCTAGAAATTCAAGCTACAGAGCATAAACTCACGAAAAAGAAAAAAAAAAAAAAAGTTATCTATATATATATATAAAAACTATATATGCATAAATATATATTACTTAAAAAAATCTAATGTGGATACCACATAACTTCCTTGTACGAACTATTAAATTTAAATTATATACATTTTTTGCTCCATTTCATTTAAACTTATTTCCCCGACTTTCACTAGAGATACTCTTCTCATTCAATCAATTCAGTTCTCCCTTCGCGGCAAGGAAAAAATGCATATAAACTCAAAATATTTTCATTAAAAATTGTACAATATAGAAAAACCTAAAACACCAACTACAGTAAAAACAGCTAAAAAAAAAAAAAATAAATAAATAAATAAAATAAAAAAATCTAAAAGATTTCAGATTTTAAATTACGTCCAAAGGGGCGTTTATTTAACGTTTTGTGTGCTACCTTTATTTATTAAATATCATGTTCTACGTACTCAAATCATAAAATTCAATTCAACAGCAATATCTCAAAACAAATTCCAAATTTCAAATTTGGGCTTCCAGATGCCCATATTGGCAGTAGAATTACGTCATTCAAAATTGCATGGCTCTAGGTAGCGTTGTTTTATCACAGTGCGAGAAACATACATACATTTATGCAAATACTTCATTATTTAATTCCTTCAAATATAATACAGGGCGATAATATTTCGTGGCAACAATTTGAAAAGTGAAACTGACATTCAGAGGTATTCGACACAAAATCGCAAACGAAAATAATAGTCCCTATGGGACAAAGCCCCTTTAGACTGGCTAAAATAAAGTTAATTAAAATTAATCGGAAAGGCTGATTTTTCGCTGCACAAAACTATTGGCCCCACTCGGCAAAAAGACACTGAAATTGGTGCAGTAACTCAATTCACTATGCTACTGTTTCAAATGTAAACAAATAACGTCGCCGTTAGAATTAGTGAAACTAAAACAACTTTTAAATTGTTGATAATTCTACAACTATTGCATGCAGATTAACTAAAGGCATAAAAACTTTAATCAGAATATAAGAGCAACCTAATTCAATCACTTTTAAAGTAAAATAATGCACATTTTACCAGCATTTAAGAATAAAAAGACTTAGCTCATTGAATCGGGTGATATATATTTATAAGTAAGAAGAATGTTTAAAAGCTAATGCTAAAAATACATATATTTATATGCTTTTGGTGCGGCTGATTGCAGCCAAAAAGGGAGATGCACATCTACACGTTATAGCAGTCCTGTATACAAAATTCAATGTTCTGAGGCTACTCATTTTTGAGTTATGCGACATACTTACATGCGTAGGTAGAGACGTCACGATACGTACAGACGTCAAGTTTCATCTGAATCCATTTTAAATCCATTTCACAGTCCGTTTTGGGAAAAAGAGTCCGTTATTCTGTCCGTGCGTAGAGATGTAACGTAAAAACATCATTAAATTGCATTCGATAACGGTCAAAATTGACATTTTCGTTGAAATGTGATACCCGAAATGTTTCGCTATTACAATCCTTCCTTTACTTCCTACGAGGAAATAAGAATAATAATAACAACAACAAAAATTAGCTGAAAATAATAATTAAATTCGCTTTTCATACTATGAAACATAAAATAATTTCATTTATGTGTTATAATATCTATGCGGTGTGAAATTAGGAATTTATAACAGAAGCAGTTAGGACACAATTTAAATCTAAATAGCAGTTTAATTTTTTTTTTCAAATATCAACTAAGATTCGAAATATTGATTTCTGTATTAAAAATATATGTATTTTAAAACTTTTCTACTCGAATTTCAATAAAAATAATCATATCTAACGTGATTTTTTTTTTCATTTTTTGTCGTTGCACTCTGACGTACGTTTTCAAGAATTTTATAACCGTTTAGACAACAGAAAAAAATTTGATGCATGCACCACCTGACTTCCTTCTACGGAATGTTAAATTATACGCATCTTTTGCTGCTTTCGTTTAAACGTATTTCCTAGAATTTCATTAGAGATGTCTTTCTCATTCAATGAATTCAGTTCTCAGTTCGCGGCAAGAAAAAATACATAAAACTTCAAAATATCTTTATCAAAAACTTAACAATACAAAACACCCAATACAGTTAAAACAAATTAAAAACAATTTTTACAATTAAAATTAGAGTTTCTAAGCAAAAACAAGCAATTCGACTAGCGGGCAAGAAGACATATTTTTCGATGCACAAAACTGAAAGTTTACTTTTGGTCCCACTCGGCAACAAAAATAACACTGAAGGTGCAGAAACTGACTTAATTCACTATTCTGCTAAGTTTCAAAAGTAAACAAACATAGCTGCTACGGGGAAAAAAATTAGGTTTAGCGCACTTAAACAACTTTTAAGTTGTTGATAATTCTACAACTATTTCATGCAGATTAACTAACGGCATAAAAACCTAACCAGAAGGCAAGAAAAACATAATTCAATCATTTTTTTAAAGCAAAAAATCCACAATTTACCAACATATAAGAATAAAAAAATGAACTATATAGTATACATATATGTATATATAACAATTTTTCGGAATTAAGAAACAATTTTCGGAATTTAACTTCCTACTTATGGGTTCCCTCATTTTGATACATTCTACTAAATTTATAATAGGAGATAATATAATCGATATTTCTTTAGTAAATAAATTATTATTATTTTACTTTACAGCTATTGCGCAAGTATTAGAAAAACTTGTTTTCGAATTCAATGAATTTTAGATTATTCAATATATTGGTCTTTGTGAAAAATTAGTTTTAAATTTCTTACTTCATGTCTTTAATTATATATAGATATATACATTTGGTGCAGCCAATGGCAACCAAAAAGGGAAGTGCACAACTACATGTTACAGCAGAGCAATATACAAAATTTCAACGTTCTGAGGCTACTCGTTTTTGAGTTATGCGATATACATACATACATACACACGTATGTACAGACGTCAAGAAAAAATGTCTTCTGAAACCATTTTAAATCCTTTTTGCCACCCGTTTTGGAGAAAAGTGCCCTTCACTATTACTTTACGTTTCACTATTATTCATATTACTTTACGTCGTACAAAGAAGTAAAAAACTGCAACTTAAAATTCTTTTTTTTCCCCACTGTTTTTAATGTTCGCATTAATTTACCGAACTATGTGTAAAAAAATCCTTTATATTTCGAAATCTAAAATTTTTTCCATGCAAATTCATTTTTTTAAATATTCACTTTGGATGTAATCTATTTTAAACAGATACATAGTGTGCTTAACCACTATGCAGTTAATCCAAATGCTAAACTAAAAGGAAATTAAAATCTCACCCAATGATATCTCCATATTTTTCTCTCAGCTTCCACAGACTTTTATGCGGTTCTTTTCCCAGAAATGGCAAATAACCGACAATGGGTAGACCCACAGGTCCTGGAGGCCATAACTCATTTCTTCGTTTCTTCCATAAAGTCATCCATATTAAATAAGTCGCAACAAATAAAAATATAATGCTTATTGAACTGAACTGCAGCTTCTGAAAAGTAACATGATCTTGTAGAATATCTAGCACCATGGTAACAATGATTTCTGAACTCGTTTTACGATACTAATGAAAGTAATTTCTTTAGTAATACATTCGTGATTATGACAGAAATAGTAATCTGTTTCAGATTATCAGCTGTACAGGAAGTCTTCCTGACTCAGTTCAAAGTTCGTCATATTTCTATCAGTCAAATAATTTCGACATTCGTTTGTTTCAAAATTCTATCAGAAATTTGTCACTAAACACAGGGCGTTTACCTAAGCAGGATTTTGATAATAATAAATTGATAGCGATTACTCAATCGCAGTCAAAACAAATGCTATGTCCGCGGAGGGGGGAGGAATGAAAAAATAAAAACGAATTCCTTTCATTGTCCACCCAATGCTGCTGCAAATTAATTTAACGAAAGAAGCAAATTTGGAAGAACTTATTTTTTAATCCTTCATAGTTGACAAGCCTAGAAGCCAAAGGACAAAAAGAGAATAATAATACATATTTTAAATAATGGAAATTTGAGAATTTTTTAAAATTTTCGAATGCCACGGTACAAAACAACTGAACATCAAATAAAGTACAAAACAAACACAAGAAAATTGACATCAGTATATCTATAAGGCGTTTCTGGGCGTAACGCTGTCCAAAACGCTTAATGGCAAACCGCACATTGAGTTGATCAATGTTAACGAATTTCGCTTACTGCGCATGCTCAATGGTGTACCCCTGGTGTGAGAGAAAATACTGGCGACTGAGCATAAGCAACCGTACACAAGCCTGTTCGTCATGTAGGTGTTATGGACTGTTTACAATTGCAACCATCTATTTCATTTTACTTACAGTAATTTATTTGACCTTTAATTCAGTAATTTAAACTAGATTTAATGCTTAATTTGTTAAAGTATATATGAATAGAACGTATGGTAAATACTCAATTTTTTCTATTCCTCAGAAATATAATCAGCTAATATATCTTCTAATTAAGACACAATAACACGCCGAATAAATACTAATTCAGAAGTCAAACAACAAAAATCAGCGTTATACCTACAAAATTTTCACAGGACTAGTTTCGATGGTTTTACCGAACCATCATCTTCAGCTGCAAACCCATCGAAACTAGTCCTGTGAAAATTTTGTAGGTATAACGCTGATTTTTGTTGTTTGACTTCTGAATTAATATCTTGTAATGTTTGTTTCTTGTTTTGTAATCCCTTTTAAAAGAAAATTTGGGTAGTTTACAATCAACATTTACACTCGAAGTAAAGAAGCAGCTTACAACCTGACACGTTTTAAAACCTCGAACTGTTTACGCCTAAGATAACACAATATCGACCATATACCGTATTTATCTTCTTTTAAAATTGCGCCAAAGTCGTAACGGCGCCAAATTCTCTTTTGGGCATGCGTAGTAAGCGAAATTCGTTTAACATTGGTCAACTCAATGTGCGGTTTGCCATTACGCGTCCAAAACACATACGAGGAAGGGCAGGCATTTGCGGATATGTGGCAAGTCCTGCATAAGGGGCAAACAGAGTCAGGAGCGGCATTGATGCGTTGAAGTTGCTTACGAAGGTTGATGTCATGACCACTATAAGACGGGACAATGCGACAGATTTCTTTGTAGGCCATTCGGGTGCATCAGGAATTTGTCTAAATCATGATTTAGATCTATTTCTCTCTGCCGATTTCTTGGAGAAAGGTGCCTCTGAACAGTGGCTAAATAAGGGTATGCAAGGAATGCCATCGCATAAGGGCCCGAAGGCTTAGGGGCCCATGAATGTCCTGCTGAACTACATTCACATGTTTAAACTTGCAAATACTAATAAAAATCATGTATTCGAGTAGTTTAGTGTACCAAAATGTTTTCTAAAACGAAAGGGGGAAAAACACTTTACCATACATATATTCTACAAAAGTTGTATGTTAAAATAGTTTTCTTTATGGAATTTATGATAAATATGTTTTATATTTAACAAATGTATCATTTACATTATAAAATATGACTTGTATATTATTGCATAAGTCATGTTCGTAAGGTGAGTTGATCGCAGAGTGCTATATATTAGTGTAAATTACCTTTTTGCACGTTTACCTATCATGTTGTTTGTCAGTTTACAACTAACCAGTTATTTACTAGCTTGCTAAATTAATCGTGGAAAAAACTTGGACTAGCGCAGATTTTATATAGAAACTCAAGATATATTTGCATGTAAAACCTACTGGATTTTATTTTAAAAATCTCCGCAAATCTAGATTTTCTTCCTCCCTTTTTTTTAACACACTAAATTTATTGGGGGGGGATTTCTTGCATAGGGGTCCAAGAGTTCTAGGTACACCACTGCCTCTGAAGGCTTTCCCAACGACTGAATGGAGATGAATAGACCAGTCTCTGATCTTTGAAGGACAGAAGCCTTAGCCGAGGATCCGATGTCCCTCACTACGATGAGCAGGAATCCATTGAGGTACAACCTCTTCCGGCAATCGATTGATCTTTGGATTGCATTACAAGCAGAAAAAGCCTACTTTGAAGGGGCAAGAATTAAAACGTGTGAAGTATAAATTTTTTTTCCCCATCTATGTTCTGGTATTTTTTAGACAGACTTAACGTATTACTTCTTCCATTGTAATTTTAGGTTAAATCTTGCATATTTCCAATAATCACTAGTAATACTCTTGCATTCTACGGGTTCGTGGATTTGGAGCGATTGGATAACAACACTAAAAATATAAACACACTAAAATATAAACACACTAAAAATATAAACACAATAAAAACACAGTTTATTCACCAGTATAATACAGGAGAGTTCGAAAGAAGACACGTTTACAGTCGCTTAAACACGCTGAAAAAATCAGCAACACAGTCTCCAGACTTTCAGTCTATAACGGCGAAGACAGCTTTACGGCAAAACACTCAAGTACAGCTCCCGACTCGGTCTACCGCTTTCGGACACACTCAAGATACACTCTCGCGATTACCTCGACAATACACTCAAGATTCACCGCTATTCCTTAAATCGTAGACCATCGGTTGTTTAAGAGGCTCACGACCCTTGCGGGCCTTTACCAATTTCTATATTTATCTCAATACATGAGCAGATCTTTAATTAAAAGGTTGAAATTCCTAACAAGAGGAAAGTCTTAAGCGTCTTTTGCGCATCTTTTCTATAAAAAAAATTAGAGAAAACTGTCGAAAAGCGAGTACAGCGTAACGTCAATTTTTGGTCAGGACCAAAATTGGCAGGATGATTGGGTTATACCCAAATGCCACAGAGTGAAGGTCTTTTGAACGTAATTTAAAATCTGAAGCATTTCAGATTTTTTTAATGTTATTCTTATTTATGAATTTTTTGATAAATTAAACAATTAGATTTGTGGCGTTTGTCGTGTGTTTTAAAAAGTTAATTGCAGAAGGATTTCGAATAAAAGAGCTGATATGTTTTTAAAATCATGAAAATGTTGCACACTATATTTGCGATAGGTTATCTACTTCATTATGATATATGAATGATGACAAAAGCATAACTATTCTTGTTTCTGTTCATAAAAGCCCTATCATTTGCAAATTTTGTCGGCGACTTTTTATCAGTTGAGATTATCTTCAGAGATAGATATATGCTGTTATCTCAGAATTATTTCACTTATGGTTAAACTTAACTCGTAAAGGACGTTCTATTTAAAATTATACTTTGTAATGTCTGCTGATAACAGTGCATAATTTTCCACCATCAACCATTTTGTTTCGAAAACAAAAATATGGGTATTTGTGTAAAATCTTTTGCAGGTAATATTTGCTTAATGCCAAAATAATAAATACAAAAGTTATAAAAAATATAATCCAACATTTGAGAAAAACGTGTTAGTAATTTAAATGAAATAAATACAAAATGTGTAACATATTTTTGCTTAATACACAATTGCAGCACGTTTCCTAATTTTGGCATGGAAAAACTTAAAAAAAAAAATTCTGACAACTCTCAAATTTTACATTTCGCCCAAAAAGGCGTTTTTCTTTAACGTTTTGTGGGTTACCGTTATTTAATATCATGCTCTTCGCACTTAAACCATAAAATGCAATTCAACGCCAATATCGTAAAATAATTTTAAATTGGAGCGGATCTTTAGAATTTCCGACAAACAGTCTCACCTGCTGGAGATAAAAAAGTTTTTTTTTTTTTTTTTCTTGTAGAGTGTTGTCATTGTTCGCTTTATCATTGAGCTTCTTAATCAAAAATTCGTGAAAATTTTACAAAATATGAAATAGATAATAAAACAAATTCTAAATTAGAGCTTCCAAATGAGAGAATTCCATATTCGGGTGTGGGATTATGTTTTTCAAAATTGGATGATGTAGGTACCGTTGTTTAATCACAATGCGAGAAACATACTGTTACGAGATGTACAGGCGTGGTGAGATAGCTTCTCCGCAAAGTAGTTTTAGGGTTGCCACAAATGAAAAGATAAGGCAGGGTTGCCTTATTTGGCGAGAAATGTCAGGAGAATTCCTCTGAATGAGTTATGGGAACTTGAAAAAATAGGAATATGCGATTATATATGAAATAATTCCAAATATTATATATGAAATATATTCCAAATATTATATATGATATTATATATGAAATAATTCCAAACGAAACTGTTAAAATGAATGAAAATTTTAATTTATCTGAATTTGAAAATAAAATGAAAATTCTTCCAGATGGAAGATATGAAGTAGAACTTCCGTGGAAATGTGATAGATAAATGTGATAGATATCTCATCTAAAGATAGAGATTTTCTCAGATTTTTTTTTTCCCATGCAATGAAGGGCAGTTAATTTATAGGCATTGCAGAGTCGTGTTTGGAGTTTCTTCCAGCCCCTAGTTGTTGAACGCATCTATAATGCATCTATTAGAAAACTGTCTAAGTCAATATAGTGAAGTTGCTCAAAAATTAAAATCGTCCTTTTATGTGGATAATTGCTTATCTAGTGTTTTTAGTATTGATAAACAGTTTACGTTTATTGAACATTCCAAATTAATCATGTCAAATGGATGTTTTAACTTGCGCGGTTTTGAAAGCAATGTGGCTGGTACAAATAAATGTTGACAATCA